AACCTCCACTTACAGGGCTGAGATGATTCTGTTACCTCAGCCTTCCATGTAGCTGGGACCACAGGCATGCATCACCATGCCTGGCTAATTTTTGTATTTTTTTTGTAGAGACGGGCTTTCACTATATTGTGCAGGCCAGTCTTGAACTCTTGAGCTCAAGCGATCTGCCCACCTCAGCACCCAAAGTGCCAGGGCTACAGGCGTGAGCCACCTGGCCAACCACAGATACTTTTTAAACAAACGAACAACAACAATAATAGCTATCATTTATGGAACACTTATTCATGTCAGATATTGTTTTAAATAGTAATTCATTTAATCCTCCAATAACCTTAGAAAGGAGCTAACTCAATTTCACAGAAAACTGAACTTTTTTCTTTTTTTTTTTTTGAGATGAGGTCTCGCTCTGTCACCAGGCTGGAGTGCAGTGGCGTGATCTCAGCTCACTGCAACCTCCTTCTCCCTGGTTCAAGCGATTCTCCTGCCTCAGCCTCCCAAGTAGCTGGCACTACAGGTGCCTGCCACCACGCCCAGTTAATTTTTGTATTTTTAGTAGAGACGGGGTTTCACATGTTGGCCAGGATGATCTTGATCTCTTGACCTTGTGATCCTCCCACCTAGGCCTCCCAAAGTGCTGGGATTACAGGCCTGAGTCACTGCACCTGGCCAACATTTTTTTTTTTTAGAATATAAAGGTCTTGATACAACTAATTTTGAAATAGCCTGGTAAGACTCACTCTATTCAATTAAGAAAAGGTAAAATATCTTATACAACATGAAAAAGAAAAAATATGGTGGAGGGAGCCGGGCACAGTAATCCCAGCACTTTGGGAGGCCGAGGTGGGTGGATCACAAGGTCAGGAGATTGACACTATCCTGGCTAACATGGTGAAACCCTGTCTCTACTAAAAATACAAAAAATTACCCGGGTGTGGTGGTGGCCGCCTGCATAGTCCCAGAGACTCCTGGGGCTGAGGCAGGAGAATGGCGTGAACCCGCGAGGCGGAGCTTGCAGTGAGCTGAGATCGTGCCACTGTACTCCAACCTGGCCGACAGAGGTAGACACTGTCTCAAAAAAAAAAAAAAAAAAAGTGGAGGGAGAAGGAAGAAATAAATTTAAGAGCGGGAGAAAAGAAGTAGGAATAATAGAGACAGACATGGAAAATGGAAAATGAAGAAAGAGAAAAGTAAATTTTGAGCGGAGTAAAAAAAACAACTGTTTAATCAGAATAAAATACTCTGTGCAATATTTTAAAACTCGTAATTTGAGGCTGGGCGCAGTGGCTCACACCTGTAATCCCAGCACTTTGGGAGGTTGAGGTGGGTAGATCACGAGGTCAGGAGATCGAGACCATCCTGGCTAACATGGTGAAACCCCATATCTACTAAAAATACAGAAAATTAGCCGGGCGTGGTGGCGGGCGCCTGTAGTCTCAGCTACTCAGGAGGCTGAGGCAGGAGAATGGCGTGAACCGTAGATCGGCCAGGCATGGTGGCACACGCTGTAATCCCAACACTTTGGGAGGCCGAGGCGGGAGGACCACTGAAGTCAGGAGTTCGAGACCAGCCTGGCCAGCATGTGAAACCCCATGTCTCCTAAAAATTCAAAAAAAATTAGCTGGGAGTGGTGGCAGGTGCCGTACCCCAGCTACTTGGGAACTGAGGCAAGAAGAATCGCTTGAACCCGGGAATGGAGGTTGCAGTGAGTTGAGATTGTGCCATTGCACTCCATCCTGGGCAACAGAGTGAGACTCCACCTCAAAAAAAAAAAAAAAAGTTAAGCCCGGGCGCAGTGGCTCACGCCTGTAATCCCCGCACTTTGGGAAGCCAAGGCAGCGCGATCACCTGAGGTCAGGAGTTCAAGACCAGCCCTAGCCAACATGGGTGAAACCTCCATCTAAAAAAAAAACCTAAAAACACAAAAATTAGCCAGGGATGGGGGTGTGCCGCTCCAATCCCAGTTACCGGGTGGCTGAGGCAGGAAGAATTGCTTCAGACTGGAAGGCAAAGGGTTGCAAGTGACCCGG